AGTATTTCGAGCGGAATGATGGAGAGATAAGCGAGCGAGCGAGCGGGTAACTCGCTGGTAACGAGCCTCGAAGTCGCGCTCGTAGACGACGCGCCCTCGAACCAGATGCCCGTTCTCGCACCGCAATTCGGCGCGACGACACGCGCCGGTCCGACATTTAACTCGGCAGCCACGGCCACGGCAGGTGGTGATTTTCTGGCCGGCCGGCCAGCGCGCGACCCAATAAACGGATCGCTCGCAGTTAAAAGCGCGCAATTTCACACACCGAGCAAAGTTTTCGGAGGAACGTTTAGTTTTAACGAAAATATGGGGAAGGGAGGGGGGGAGGAGGGAGGGACGGTTTGTTTTTTTTTCACCCACGTGGAAATGGATTTTTTTCCGTAAAATCACATTTTTGTGAGAGTCAAGGAAAAATTAAGAAGCACCTCTTACTTGTAAAAACGATACGATGTGTATGCGATAAATTCTTGAATAATAAAAGAAACGTTTTATTTAGAAGCAATATTTTTTCGTTTCTCTCACAAAAAATCGAGAGGTACGTCAATTTATGATATCTTATAAATATTGCGAATGTCACTTTAATAGGATTATAATAGATATGGATAAATTTTCAGTAAGGATGAACAAGAAGATTTTAATATGTGTTTAAAAAAATCTTTTCAGAACGATATTGACAAATTGACAGCGTCTTGTTTGAATTTTTATATAATTAAATAAGAATGTCAAGAGAATTTGTTCAATCACTGATATGTCCTGACATACATTGTCAATTATATCTGTAAAAGTACGTAAAAAGAAAGAAAGTTAAAAGATACCGGACATTCTAGTTTTTGTTCGATCAAAAAATAAAATGTGTTACACAACAAGTATCATTAAGATCGATTTTCATTGATATTACATGTGTGCGATAAAAAGTCACGGAGGGCATTTTACAAATAATATTCAGCACTTATTTTTACTGTATAAGACTGTCGGCGAAAATATCGAAGCTATTGAAAGTTTCAGTTACATGTTGCAAATTATTTTAAAAAAATGTTACAGTTTCTTCTATATATGTATAAAGTATTGATAATCAATAAATATCTTATTTTCGATTAGAGCGAACTTTTATGTCAACAGATTATAATTTCCGATAACGAATGCGTTATTGCCGCTTATTTCGAGAGATACGTGCTGTGATATACACTATAACGCAAATTGTACGAATATGTTAATTTTTAATGAGAGTTTCGAGCTTTAAATAAAATATACATTATGTTATTACATATATAGTGTTAAAAATAATCTACAATATGGTATGAAAATTGAAGGAAAAATATTTAGTCGCACAAACAGAACTGACCTTTTTCCGGAGAGAAATGATTTTCGGTTTTAGCGATACGGCAATTTTAGCGGTACGGGCAATTTACTCGCTCCTATTTATCACACGCAGCGCGTAAACAAAGGATTATCTTGCTATAATTTTCCACGAGTGTCTACAAGAGATATAATATTTCCTAAATATTTCCCTGCGATAATATCTTCTCAATCCTGAAATATCTTTCTATTTTACTTAAACTACATTTTACTTAAACACTACTTGTTTTTAGATGAACCCGATAAGGATATTATATCTAAATATATAATTTGAATGACAAATTTTAATCTCGTTCTCGCGTTAGAACGTATGAGGCCTGCTTTAAATATTACATGTCGCTGGATGGGCGCAGATGTTCCGCTTTGCGCATTCAGTTCAAGAAGTCCTATATGCGTATACGGAAATACATAGGTACCGTATACGTACAAGAAATCGATCTATCGACGGCCCGCGGTTCTTCGACCGTTTTAACATATACCCGTTTTCTACCAATATAGATTTACTTTAATCTTGCTTTAACTTACCGTTATCTTTTCCTAGTTCTAAGAATTAGAAACAAATAAAGAGTAAATTAAACCTTCAAGAGAGAGAGAGAGAGAGAGAGAGAGAGAGAGATTAAAGTTAATCTACATTTCGTAGAAATGGACATTGGTCTCTTGCTTTCAGAGAGGTAAACGCAATAACGGCGTCGACAAAAGCGATGTATATTACGGTGTGATCTTAATTACTGTTTGAGAAACGCACAGTTGAAGTGTGTGTATACGTTTGATAGAATATACCGGAAGCAATTAGAACGAACCGCCGCGAAAACGATCTTTATTCCCGTGCGATAGCTTCGCCGGAAATAATGAACCGACAACCTGGGAATGCGCTAAGGAGTAAACGAATCGCCGGTAAATCTTCCGTAAAGGCCGGCCGCTGAGCCTGAATACGAGGCTACTGGCTTAATTCCAATGAAGATGTGGAAGGGCACAATGAAACAGATAAGCAAATAATTGCGCGCGCGTGTAAGTGATCGGTACGTATGTATGTACATCGGTACGATCGGCACGTACAGAAAAATATCATTCCATTGCTCAGAAAAGTGATTACTCAATTTACTTTCTTCTTTTTAAGTAACGGTCACCTTTAACAAAGAATCTTTTCTTGATAATAATTTTAAAACGTATTTAAAATGTTATTACAAATTTTATAAGAGCCCATTATTATGTATTTAAAACATAAATTTATTTCAAAGATCACTATAAAATTGATCGAAGAAGTTATTAGTAGACATTATATAGTAAGTAAATTGAATTAATTTGTCTAATTTCATTTAATCTTCATTGAAGTTAATTGAGCTTATTATTAGGATTTTCAGAATATATTTTGAATAAATTTGATGCTTGTGATGAACTTATGATGCACTCAGAGAAAAAAATCGTATCAGTAACTATAAATTTGTAATGAAATAACATCTCAACTGTGCTATACATATTATTAAATTCTATTAAAAATATTAAAAATACTAGATTAAGTGAACAAGAAAATATAATAACATTAACCATATATAATCAATTACAAATGGTTAATATTATTATATTTTCTTAATTTACTTATTGTTCTTATTATAGCTTTATAAATACATAGTTACAAATTTGTGTATGCATTTTTTTTATTTATTTTTGTCTTTCAAATTCGAAACCAACTCGGCGCCTTTTATTGTAAGCTGAGTGGTTTTTTTCTTGGGAGAAACTGAACTCCGCTAGGTCTTTCTGGTGACAATCTTCTTTCTTAAAGTCGCGTACTGTTGGGGCTGAGCGATTTTAGAGAAAAGGTTTTTAATGTATTCCTTAAAGTTACCTCAACAATGATTAATTATTTACATGATATGAAGTGCTTTATTAAAAAAAAGTTCTTGTCTAAACTAAAAAAATGTAATTGTTATACCTATCTGCATGAAATCCAAGTAACTACTCAATGTAGTTGAGTCACTACCAATTGACAGTGCATACAATTTGTTGACTATATTTTTATAACATTCAGCACTACTTCAGTTTCTATTACTTTGTAAAACCAGTTACAGGTACTTCAATTGCAAAAGTTGCCAAATTTATAGTTGCCAGAACTATTTCGTTTTCTCTCAGTGTAGACCCGAGGATGAACTTTTGAAATATTTGAAACAAGTAATTATTATTTGCATACTTGCGTAGTACGTATATTTTTCTGTGTGTATATTTCCTTTGTTATCTCGCGGTGTATTTTTCCTGAGCAATTGTTTTAGTACTTTTCGTACGTTAACCTCTTAATAGAGCACGTACGAAAGTAACTTAATGAACTATGCACGAAGTAAGGCGTAATTGGTCTCAGTGCTCCGAACGTTGCGTGAAGTACGGTTGTGCGTGTTAGAAGTTACTTCCGTAATTGCATATGCGAAAGGTGAAAATAAGCGGATATTTTTATGTATTATTACGATAATTACGATATAAGTTCGCGATCTTAATAAACAAATTTAAGATCACGCTCAACAAGCGCGAATTGTTCCATTTAATAATACCTTGAGTATGATTATTCTCCATCCTGTGCGTTTTTTGATCCATCCAAGGGAAACGATTATAAAATCGATATTCAAGTCGGCAAGTTATTGACAGGCAATAACTCATGAATAAAACATTCGTTCAAAATAAGCGTTAACCCGCGAAATGTGAACGTTGAGCGCGTTCAAACCAGTCGCGCTTTTCGACGCTCGATGTTCGCTGGCGGTCACGTGACCCTTCCTCGTTCGAGTCGCGTCGTTCCTTGCGTATCGTCCTTGCTGCTTTTCTTCTTGTCGTCAAATATTCACGTGCGAGTCGCGATTCGTCGTAACAGAAACAGTTAAGTTGCAATTCAAAATAAATACGTATTAAAATCGGAATGTTCTAACAATAATATTGTATAATAATAATACTGCATAATAATAATATCGCACGCCAAGATTTTAACTGTATATACGAACAGATAGATATCAATTTAAAAATATGATATGTAATTTTATGAATATTTCTCCAAATGAATTTAATTTTCAAAGTCAGCAGTCGCAGAGGAGAAATATACCTTACGCCATTTGCCGCGTTTCCATTGACGCGGACAAACGTAGAGATCATTTATAAGCAGTCCGGCGAATATTAAATTGCAAACTGGAGCGTTGATGAGGAAGCTCTGTAAATTTCGGACGAGCGAAACGTCGCGGTCCGACTGCTGAAGGACGATGGATTTGTCATAAAGTGACAAGAGAAAGAGCGTGACGGCGCGACCAGCGATCAGCGACGAACGGCACGGTGGCAGCCTGGCAGCCGTATTTCAACACGGCGTACTCCGCCTTGGTAGCCCAGGTTCTCTGTTTGACAAGTACGCGCGTATTTTGCGACCGCGTCCGAGCGCGTCCGACCGGGGGCCGATATCGGCCGAAGAGCCAGCGGGCCGCGAGAGATTGCGAGCGAGAGAGCAACACGGCGGCTGCGGTGGCCGTGCTCATGCGCGTAAGCAGAGTGTAGCGGAACACTAGTGATACTAGCAGTGTGTACTCGCTGTGTGCGCGTGTATGTGCGCATATGTGCGCGCGCGCGCGTATACGATGGTATATCGGTAAGCATACGTTGGTGTATAGTAGTGTACGCGAGAGAGTCGGTGCGCCTCTCGGCCGTGGGCACAAATCGCGAGTAAAATGGAAGCGGAATTTCGCTGCGAGGTTGAGGTCCGTCGTTGAAAACAGGTGAACATGGGAAGGTCCAAGTTTCCCGGGAAGCCGCCGAAGACGGCCACCAGGAAACGGATCAAGGTGCTGGGCCAGCCTGAGGCAGCGCAGAACGATCCGGTAACTGTCGCCGAAAACATCTACTACGGACTTTCCCTGTTCAACGAAACATTCGGCGACAACGAGAAGGTGAGGGGGAAAAAGGTCGTCGCGTTGTGAGGCGTCCGCCGTCGCTATCCGTTGCCGCCGTCGCCGTCGTTGTCGTTTTCGTCGTCGGCGTCAACCGTACCGTCATCGTCCACCGTTGCCGTCGTTATCGTAGCCGCTACCATGTCGCCGCCGTTTCTTCGGCGAGGCCGAGGTCGCGTGAGATCGACGAGCGTCGCGTCGCGCGTCGCACCGCGTCTCGCCGCTCGCGAGTCGCGCGTATTGTCCGGCTCCGGCAAGCGGATCATGAGGATACGCACTCGGTGGACTCCGCGATACGCAGGCCGACGACGAACTTTGGCGCGGCGTAGCGCGCGGGTTAACCTCATCGGCGGTGATCAACCGCGGTGATAAGTGATTGTCCAACGGCAGGTGCGCGACGCGTTCGTTTTGCGGCCTTTACTTGCCGTTCAATGATTCGTTTCTCAATTTACCATTGCCTCCCCTTCCGTATGTCGATCGAGCTATACTCATTTCTATACATTTTATCCCGGCTGCTTTTGGTACGGAGTATGTCAGTGAGATATGCCTTCTGCAATTCTTGCTCCGTAACTTCTTATCAGCTGGGAAGAATGTTAGGATTGTCAGTCTTTTTTTTTATTATGAATAAAACTTTGCAGAAGGCAGATTGTCGTGTAGACAAAGTAAATCTCCTTTATTAGTCATTTGTTTACTTTCATGGTTTGACAATTTATGTTTGTTCACTGTACAACGTACATACATACATGCATATACAAAATATACACGCTTAGATATAGTTATACTATAATAGATTATCATTGTTGAATAATTTGTTATTTCTATTAATACTCATCTAGGATCTATCTGATTTTTCTTTAGGAACATCCACCATTTCACGGATTTAGCACTAAAGAGGCTAATCTTTCTGCATCTTATATAAAAACTCAGCAACATGATGCAGAGAAGACAAGCGATAAATTGCCATCTGTCACAGTCGAAAATCTTGCACCACAGTCCAGTACGAAGAAGGATGTTATTGATGTTAAAAATTCTCCTACAGACATCGAAAATAGCACAGAAAAGTTTACCAATTCAAATCCAAAACCAGTTAAAGACATCACCCGGTTACAACCAGTTACAAATCCAAATACTAAGCATTCAAAGATTCACCGAACAAAAAGTCGTAAGAATTGCAAGAACATTAAATTTTCGAATTATTTGAAAAACCCCGTGCTAAAATCAGTGAACAACATCTTAGATCAGCATCAAAGGACCAGACAATTACGTAACAGTACTGCAAAAAGATTGCTTCAAAGGGCGAAATCTGGAAGTAATACACGTAATTTGGTAGTGCAATCAGGAGAGAAGCCTAGCACAGTGAGAAAATTTGTTTTACCCGTTCGCAGCGTGCATTCGTCAAGAGTTATAAAACCAAATAAAAGATTTATCGAGGAGTTGGAAGAAATTGCTACTACGGAGTATAGTGAGAATGAAATTGGTGTACACGTAAAAAAGACTAAATTAAATCCAGATAAGCTTAGCAACTTGGAATCAAAATTGAAAGGGGATACTGTTAGTAAGTTGTGTACAAAATTTAAAGACGCAAGAAGCAAGCCAAAAAGGGTGATTCAGAGTGTCTCCAATGCTGAGATTATAACTCAATCAGTAAAAAATATAGAGAAATCAGCGAATTCTGTACAAAACGCACAAATATCAAAACCAGCTCATAGGGAAGTAAAAAAATCTCATACTATATCGTGTAAGAATAAAGTATCAAACAGCACATCTGACAATTCTAATAGTAATCAAGAATGCTCACAAAACTCAAACAGGACGACACAAACTGTGAAATCAACAATTTCCAGAAATCAGAAACAGATTTCTATTCCTACAAAAGTTCTTCCCGATTCCAATGTTCCACACTTCGAGTCTTCCAGAGTTCAGACGAGATCAGGAACTCAAAATGAAATAGCAAGCGATTTAAGTAATAATCAGGTAAGCTTTAACAGTGGTGCAGGATTGACAGAAGGTGGCTGTGCAGAAACTGAGAATCAGCTTGGTAATAAGACTGCGGTTAATGCATTGAACAATTTTGAGACGGAAAACAATTTACCTGAAAGCGAAAGCGAGCACAGCAATCACTCGGAAGGCGAGCCATCCGATTTCAGCGGAATGAAACTCAATGGTGGAAAAGTTATATTAAGAAAAGCAAGATTAAAGTTGGACAATAAGTGTCTAGCTGGAACAGAAGGACCATTTTCAACAACGAGTACCAGTAACACTATGGGAGGAAGCACTAATTTAGGTACATATTTTACACTTTGTGGCGATTTTGTATCTATTTGTTATACATATACTTTCAACAAGTAAAACTATTCTATTCCTAAATATTATTGATTATTTTTCGTTGTAGGATTAACAGGTACTATAAAATGTGGTGTTTGCGGAGCAGTACGATTTTATCGATTCGTGAAACAGGCACGCAAATTTGGTATTCACAGTTGCGAATCTTGCCGAAAGTTTATAAGCAAAATGATCAAACGTCAGGCTTGTGCTAAATCCTCAAACAATGTTCTTCCCATTCTTCAGTGTCATAAAGGGGACGGTTTGTGTTTAGTCCCACCTGTTGTGAGGAGTCAGCAATGGAATCTCATGAGATGCGTTTATAAAGCCAGATGCCCGGCGTGTTGGTTGAAAATGTGTTTGAAATGTTATAACATTCCACCTCCTTTGAGAACAGGCTTGAACGCGTTGTTACCACCATTAATGAGAGACCCTTTAAGTATTTCTCTGCCACTTGGTCAAGACGAGGATGGTCAAGGACAAAAATTGTGCTCGTCTAAACTTAGTTGGCCCGCGGAAGATAGCTCGGAAAGAAATTTATTTAAGTCTGCTATGAGTTGGAGAAATTTTGAAATGGGACATAAGACGAGTTATCAGGGTACTGGAGGTTTTCTCTATACAAAAATAGATAAATGTAAGAGTTATTACTGTACAAGTTATTTTATAAATGCTTTTTTTGAAATCGTGTTTTACGTACGATGTGTTTTATTACAGTTGATTCTTCGATGAGTATATCGCCTAATAAGAAACGAAGGAAAAATAACAGGATTAAAGTAAGAAAGAAAATTAAAAATCCAGTGGTCGCTTCTTCGTCTGGCAGCCAACAGTTGCAACCTCTTAGACAGAGACTTGAGTTGAAAGGACCGAGAGTTAAGCATGTTTGTCGAAGCGCCAGTGTCGCACTTGGACAGCCCATTGCAACTTTTCCTACTGTAGACGCGAAAGAAGACAACGAACATGGTAAAAACATTCCAAAGACAGTGAAAGAAAATGAGAGAATAGAAAAGAGAGATGATATAAAAGAAAAGGAAATACAAAAGCATAATGAAGATAATAATTTAAATCTTAACGTTAACACGACACAACATTCGAGAAGAGGAAAACCGCAACAGAGTGTGTCAACGTTACATTTTCCAGTGGTAAGATATCTTTCAAGCATAATCGAAGAAAGTGATCTAAGTGTAGCCATATCAATATTTACTTTGTCAATGACATACTGGATGAGAAGTTCTGTTTTTCTTGTACGACATCTATAAGTTTCTTTTTTGTATACCTGTAAGTTGGTATTCCGTTTATTAAATATAAAACTTGCTACAAACTTAAATTTAATTTATAAATTAATGTGACACAGATTAATGTGAAAATAGAAAGTAAAGTAATGTGAATAATATATTTATTGTAGGTGTCTAAAGCAGTTATGGATACTGTATATACAGTTTCCATAGATTTCTGGGAGCAATATGATCCTTCTGAGGTCGGAACTAAAGGTTTCGCTCTTATCGGTTCTGAGCTATTTCATATACCTGCTATTTGCTATCTGTGCGGAAGCGCTGGTAAAGAGCCGGTAAGTAACGTATGAAATATCAGGTTATAGAAGGATAGCGAGTGGACATGTAATAGTAACACGCCTTCTTTTCGAGAACTATCAACATGTCCTTCTTTACAGCTGATCCACTGTCAATGCTGTTGCGAGCCGTACCATGCCTTCTGTTTGGAACCCAGTGAATGGAACGCTTGTGCACAGCCAAACTGGTGTTGTCCCCGGTGTACGATATGTCAGTCCTGCCATCTCAGATCCGGCCCGAAATTATCCTGCATTCGTTGTCGTCAGTCGTTTCACCACTCATGTTTGTCAAAGTCCGGTGTTAGCTCCAGATTGTACAGTCCCGATCGACCTTATGTTTGTCAGAGCTGTATTAAATGTAAAAGCTGTGGTAGCGAGGGCGTCAACGTTCACGTTGGTAACTTACCTCTCTGCTCTATGTGCTTTAAGTTAAGACAACAAGGAAACTATTGTCCTTTGTGTCAGAGATGTTACAACGAGAACGATTTTGACACAAAGGTGAGTATGTACATGTAATCTTGATATAAAATAAGTTCGCAATCGCAAAATTTGTTTCATATTTGCAACTTACATATTATGATCGCATACGTTCTTTTAGATGATGGAATGTAGCGAATGTTCCTGCTGGGTACATGCCCGTTGTGAAGGCCTTTCCGATGAGCGTTACCAGATACTTAGTTACCTGCCCGATTCGATCGAATTCACATGTAGCCAATGCTCTTCCAATTCGACTTCCTCTATCTGGAGGAATGCCATAGAAGCGGAACTGAAGGCGGGTTTCATCGGAGTGATAAAATCTCTGAGTAAAAACCGCAAGATTTGCACGGCTCTTAAGTGGAGTCCCAGAAAGGAGTGCCTTTGCAGGCCCGTTTTGAGTGTGAGAAAACTTGAGTTTCCTGAAGAAGACAAAAATGAAACGAACTGTACGAAAGAAAATGAATAATCGGAAGAGTGTAATGGTGACAAGTCCATAGATATCGACTCGAGTTCGGGTGCCAATTACAGGGATGGTATGAATAAGCCTGATTTAGAAGAACATTCAATAGATGGTCCCATTAGAAAAGGTCTGCGACGACTACGACAGAAATTCCATCTAAAAGAATGCTCGGTTAGGGTGAAAAACTGCGTTCCGAAGGACTCTCAAGATAACGAGAGAAAAGACTTGACAAATCAAGATTCGTTAGTTTCTTCAACCGATGTCACGGAATGCCACTGTTCCGAGCAGCAAATCATCGCAAGACCCTCGCCCACTTTAATGTCTGTGAAACGTAAGGTAAACAGTAACGAGTACAAATCGTTATTACAATTTCATTGTGATATGATGCACGTAATCAACCGTGTCGGTTCAAAAGATATGATAGAAACGTATCACGATATTCTACAAGAGGTTTTCCCATGGTTTACTCCGAAGAATTTTAAGAGCAACGATAACAACGATGATACGTTAACGCCTACTAAAGACGTTGGCGAAGACATTGCTCTGACAACAAAGTTTGACGATCCTATTCTGGAGGCGTGGAAGGAGGAAGTGATGAAAGCACCGAAAGCAATCGCAGCAAAAACGGCGAATCTGTATAATATTCATGTCGAGGACAGCAGATCGTGTTGTTTATGCAAAGGTTTGGGCGATGGGCACGAGACAAAAGAGGGAAGATTATTGTATTGTGGGCAGAATGAATGGGTACACGCGAATTGCGCGCTATGGTCAAACGAAGTGTTTGAGGAAATCGATGGCTCACTGCAGAATGTTCATAGTGCCATTTCGAGGGGTCGTTTGATTCGCTGCTCCGAGTGCGGTAAGAAGGGCGCGAGCATCGGATGTTGCGCGAAGAATTGCAGCAATACTTTTCATTTTCCATGCGCAAGGAATGTTGGACTCGCTTTCAACGACGACAAAACTGTATTTTGCATCTCACATTCGAATACGAGTCACGTCTATAAGTCTTTGCAGAACGAGAACGAGTTTAGTTTGAAACGACCGGTGTATGTGGAGTTGGATCGTAAGAAAAAGAAATTTGCCGAACCCAACAAAGTTAAGTTAATGATAGGCTCTTTGATGGTCGACTGTTTGGGCACTGTCATTCCGGAATTCTCTGATACGGCTGAGAAGATAATACCATGCGATTACAAATGTTCTAGACTTTACTGGTCCACAGTGAATCCTTACAAGATCGTGAGATATTACATTAGAACTTATGTGCAGGTACATATGCCAGACGTCTCGTCCGACATGGAGAATAACATCACCATCGATCATAGCAAGGAGCAGGAAAAAGATGAAGTACCGACAGACTATTTGGCCGTCAAACAAACTCTAGATACGCTCATCGATTTCGTGTGCAACAAAGAAGTTGATGAGAATTTAGCGGAGCAGAACAATACAGATCTTTTACCGCCGGAATTGAAGGAGGCTATATTTGAGGATTTGCCACACGACCTGTTAGACGGAATTTCCATGCAAGACATTTTTCCAAAGATGTCGTACGAGGATTTTTTAGCCATGGATTTAAAGAATGATGGTTCTTTCAGCACGGATTTATTCAAGGATGATATGTTGTCATCAGAAGTCGAAGAGACGATAAAACCGTCGGAAAATAAGATCTCCAAAATAGATTCGTCTCTGTTGGAATTAGGAGCGCACAATGATCTCTGGGTACGGTTGGAAGCAAAGACTGCGATGCAAGACCTCATGGACGACTTATTTAACTCAAAAAGCCAGAAACGCGGCGGTAGAGAATTGAAACGATCCAAATCAGAGGTGATGTCGAACAATCCGCTGATCGTCGGTGGTCAGAGGCATCATCAGCGTTCCTGTAGCCTCACATGGAGCTGCAAGCTAGACAACACTTACGGTTCTAACATAAAAAGACGGAAGTTGCCCCGTAATCCATCCAGTACCAAGTCCAGCGAAACCGGTCTTATTGTTCTTGATGCGCAAAACGAACGTACGTCGATGTTTCATGAATTGAGAATCCCGGAGAGTATTATGGTCACCGTGGGAAGAGGAAACACGCCTAACATACTATCCGATTCCGTGCGCGAGTTGAAGTACTGTATTGAGGACTCTGCTGGATTAAATCGTCGCGTATTGCCAGCCAGGGACGACGTAAAAGAGCACAAAAGGCTACTCTGGCATCCGCGACAACAGCAACCGCGAATAGTACAGGTCGATGGGTCGGTTGACGCTAATAGTGCCAGCGAGTGCAGTTCACCAGAATACAATGCCGAGGAGAAAAATGCGAATCTTCAAACGTCCGAATCATTATCGATCCCGCAATTAGACGGCATTAACGACGAGCACTCGTCTGACGCGAGCGAGTCAAGCTCGGAAATGGAATTTGGCTTATACGCGCGGCCTTCAAATCTTTTACATTCAAAGCGTATCTTTGGTTTCATCAGATCACATGTGTCAAGTAATTGTGATAAAAAAACGAAGAGGGGCAACTTCATAACCGCACCAACCGTTAGGTGTATCTCGCACAAAACGGAAGTCTTGTTCAAGGAGAAGAATCTCAAAATAAATGTGCAGATCCCACAGGTCGATGGTGCAGGCGATATCTCAAGCGACGACGAGTGCGTCTCGTCGCAACACATGATGACGCATGAAAGGTTACTTCATACCTCATACGAATCGTCGCCGTTCGAGGATATCGATGTCACTTGCAAGAGATGTGGCCTCACATATCGCAACGAGGAGAGTTACAATCGTCATCTGGACAACTGCGATACTATGATCACCAGTGATAGCGACTCGGAGACCATGGACAACAAGCTGGCGTCGCCAGAGTCGGGGTTCTCGCCAAACATGGGTCCGGTGTCATCGCAATTCATCACGCTTTCACCGTCCGAGGGCCACACTCTAACGACCGATTACTCGGATATTCAAGCGACGTCACCCATCGAGGCATCCGTGGCATCGCCTCATTCGAGTATCCAGATTGAACCGATTGCCCAAGCGATCATCACGCCACAAATTCATGCGACACACGCCACCGTCGAAACCGTACACCAGACAGTATTAACGTCCAATGACGTGATCGTACAGACTCAATACACCCGTAGAACCACCACTCTGCCGAACCCAGCAGTATTACCTCCTCAGGAAAGCACAGTGCAGATAACGGAGATCACAGATCCACCGTCCATCTCCAGCGACTCTAACGTTACGGCGCATGGTATCGTGAATACACCGATGAGTTCGCCGGACAGCACGAGCTCGCAGACCGTCCCAAGTCCGGAAATGTCGCCCAGTTTCTCGTCCATGGGCGTACAAACCGCGCACGAATCTATGCAGACGAACGCACAGATCACCCGAACCTCTTCCAAGAAGAATTTACGGGTAGCTAAGCCTAAAACCAAGAACATCAAGCCGCAGCAGCATGTTTTGAAGAACGTAATGCAGTCGCCGCAAAATGTTGCGCACAATGTCAAATTTCAACCGACAGCGATGTCAAACGGTCCACCGGTAATCCAGCTACATCAGACCACCCCGAGACCGCCCACAGTGATCCTTCAGCAAGTGGCGTCACCAGGAATTGTGTCCGCTTATGTGGAAGCACTGCAGCAGCAATCCGGTCAAAATTTACAATACATCACGACAATTGGTGACGGGCAACACGAGACCGGTTTCAAGCCGCAGCTGATCGCCGCAAATTCCTTGGTGCCAGGCACCTATATACAGGCACCGTCCACCGACAATCTGCTGCTACAAAACGGTGGTATATCGATATTACCGAGCGTGCAGATTGCGCAGACACAGCCTACTGTACTAGGTACCATTATACAGCAACAACCCAATGCAATCCAATGTGGCGTTATATCATCGGAGCAACTGCTATTAAGCTCTACGCCTACTCTGGAAATGTTTACCGATCCAACCGGCGGTATGTTCGTATCGAATCAACCGATGTACTATGGTCTGGAGACAATCGTTAGCAATACCGTGATGTCATCTAGCCAATTCATGGCGGGTACAGTGCCACAAGTATTGGCCAGTAGTTACCAAACAACAACACAGGTGTTTCAAGCGTCTAAGCTGATGGAGCCTATCGTGGATGTACAAGCTATGCCAGGTGTACCTACTGTAACAACGATGCAGAATGTATCGAGCATGCCGAACATATCTGGTATGCCCAACATAACTGGCGTACCTAACATAGCGAGTATGCAGAATGTGAGTGGCATGTCTAACATGTCCGGAGTGCCTTACGTAGTGGTGAACCAATCGGCGCCGCCGCTACCACCAGCAGCAGCTCCGGTACCATCACCAGCACCAACATTGGCGTCGGCACCGATGCCAGCATCAGCATCAATACCAGTACCAGTGTCAATACCGACATCAGTGTCAATACCGACACCAGTGTCAATACCGACACCAATGTCAATACCGACACCAGTGTCAATACCGACACCAGTATCAATACCAACACCAGTATCAATGCCAGCACCAATATCAATATCAGCATCAACGCTAGCAGTGGAACCAATTGTAACGCCACCACAAATCAACATTTCCGCCACATCTCTGGAACGAGCTTATGGTGGTATCGCGTGTAACGTCGTGACACCGGTGCCGTGTCAAAATGCGACCATAGAGCATCCCATGGCATCGATTCAAGTGGCAGATGTGTGCTCATCGAACGCGACATCGATAAGCGTGATGGCGCCGACAAAGCTGTCATCGTCGTCGGCGCCGCCACCACCACCACCGCCACCTCCACCACCGCCGCCGCCACCGCCGCCGCCACCACCACCATCACCACCACC